TGATAGGGCTTGGGAGTTTTGATTATCTATTTTTCCTCTGTTTTTGTATAAATCTTTTGGTCCTTTATAGTCCCAATGCATGATCCTCTTTATGGTGGGTTTTGACACGTTTGAATCTTTCAGGCTAAATTGTCAGAAGGCAGCCATGCGCAGCTTGCGACTGGCTAGAAATTATTCTACTTCTGAGCACGAAAGGCTTGTTTATGAAGGATGGATATTGTATGACACTGGTCATCGGGAAGAAGCATTAGCAAAGGCTGAAGAGTCCATTTCTATCCAAAGATCATTTGAAGCTTTCTTTCTTAAAGCTTATGCGTTAGCAGATTCAAGTCTTGATCCAGAGTCTTCAAAGTATGTCATCCATCTTTTGGAGGAAGCTCTTAGATGCCCTTCAGACGGTCTTCGAAAAGGACAAGTGAGTGTTGTTGTGATTTTTGCGGACTAAATGTATTTAACTTGATGTCAGTGCTGAAACAGTGTATTTGTCCTTGGCCATCCTTTTACGTTGTAGGCACTAAATAATCTTGGAAGTGTCTATGTAGATTGTGATAAGCTTGACCTTGCTGCTGACTGCTACATGAATGCTTTAAACATCAAGCATACACGAGCACATCAAGGTCTAGCCCGGGTATATTATCTTAAAAATCAGCGTAAAGCTGCATATGATGAGATGACAAAGCTAATAGAAAAAGCACGGAACAATGCATCAGCCTATGAGAAACGGTCAGAATATTGTGACCGTGACATGGCAAAGAGTGATCTTAGCATGGCAACACAGTTGGATCCCTTAAGAACATATCCCTACCGATATAGGGCAGCAGGTAAATTCTGTATAACTGATCTTTTGTTTATTTGATACTTTATTCCTTTTGTGATGTGACTAGGAAGGGAGAAATGTTGGTTGTGACTGGAAGCTCTTCTATTCATTTCTTCTGCAACTGTAATGTCCATAATGTTTTTTTTTTTTTTAATTTGAGTCCCAGATTTTCCTTGATCTTACAACCAAAGGATTTCCTTTTCACTGTTTTGAAAAACCACATGATTAGTTGGAGCAACCTGATTGATTGAAGATAACATATTTCCCTAATGAATTAGATATACTTGATAGGAGTTCTTCACTCCCTACTTATTCCCCCTTTGTTTCACCACAAATTTTATTCCTATGTGTGATCTGTCCGTTGTCTTTACCTTCCAACTTTTTTCTTGCCAAGAGCCCAATTGTTCGTCCACGTTATTACCCTATAAATGATGGTATCCTGCTACCCTGATTGTTGCCTGTGGTCACGGGTCTTTGTTGCTATGCAGTATGTAAATTACAAACTTTGTAAAGTGAAAAGCTATCATAGGCTGTTGCAATGTGTGTGGTTGAGTTTCATAGTCTTTCTTCTTTCTTAGTATCTGACCTGGCAATTAAATTCTTGGATCCCAGTTTCATAAGCTATTAATCATACGTAACTAGAATACCATCACATAGGTGATCTTATCTCTTCCCTTAACACAGTATTGGCGCTTCTCCCTTTTCTTATTAGTATTGAAAATTAATTGCATGGAAAAATGATGTGATGCTCTATGGGAGTATTATAAGTGGGTTAGTTGTTATAATAATCACAACAGAGCATTGCAATCGTGGTAGTTTATGTCTCATTGTCTACAGAATGTTATGTTCTAACTTGGGAGCCATGTCTACTAGTTTTGATGGATGATCATAAGGAAGCTGAAGCAATAGAGGAGCTTACTAGGGCCATTGCTTTTAAGCCAGACCTGCAACTACTACATCTTCGAGCAGCTTTTTATGAATCAATGGGCGATTATGTTTCCACAGTGCGAGACTGTGAAGCAGCCCTTTGTCTCGATCCTGGCCATGCTGAGACGATCGAGCTTCGTAAGAAAGCACAGGAGCGAATCAAAGAGCAGACGTGAGAGAATTAGAGATCAGTAATCATGTTCTCTCTGTTGGATGTGTGGATAAGCCTGTTATTGCCACGCTGTGTTGCTAACACAAGAAAGCCTGGTAATCACCTGTATGGTTTTATCTATTGGTTTCTGTTTCCTGAGAAATGATGGGTCTATATCTCTTAGGCCTGCCTTCTGGAAGCAGAATGAGAAGGGAAAAGAAAAGGTTGAGACTTGAGGTGGTTAATGAATATAAACCGAATGGGAAGTAGAGGAACGAGACAGATTGTAAATACATGTAATGGGGTTGTGGTTTTGAGGGCTCATGGTTCAAGTAGTGCGGAGAACTGTTACTGCTTTGCTCATTTATACCACACCAGCAAGAATGGTGATAAGTTACCTCAGTTAGTCGAAGCATGTACATGAAATGACCATTTATTAGCAAGTCTTCGATTTAGATATTTTGCCGCCTTAATTTTGAAAGAGCAAACTCAATGTTGTAACTTTTTTTTTTTAAATGCAATTCACTCCTCTCTCTCGTGCATAAAACACAATTTTCTCTTTGTCGGCTTCTTTTTATGGGTTATTTACTCGTGATTCGTGAATGTGTTCGAGTGTTGTCAAACATTTATAGATTTATATAGAAATTAGTTAGTATTTAATTAATAATTAATCTCCAAACATCTTATTCTTTATTATTTTTTTAATCCGAACCAAGCGTCTTATTCATATGAGATCAACAAGTAAAAGTTTTCATGAAACGATTGTAATTTATAGCAGCATAATTTAATATTCTTAGCATTTTTTTTAAAATAAAAGTTTCTTAGCATACATGAAGAGGAGTTAACCCTGAAATTTGTCTATATGTTGTTTACTGGATGAGAAAAATAGACATAAAAAGATAATACTCCTTCAGTTTTAAATATAAGATTTTTTTTGCAATGAAGAAAAAACCGGACCGGATCGGACGGCTCAACCGGAAAACCAGTGAACCGATCTCTGATCCGGTCTGGTTGAGGGGAAAAATCGGATATTGCTCAAACTGGGAAAAACCGGTTCAACCAATAAGAACTGGAAAAAACTGGCTAACTCGACAGTTAAGATGGGTTGTCTAGTTTAATGATTTTAATCTTCCACCCTCAAGAATCAACATCGTTTTATGTTTAAAAAAATTTTAAACATAGTGAATATTTGGAGAAAAAATTAAAAGAAAGAAGAGAAACTCTAAATCTCTCTGCCAGTCTATCTAGAATGTTGGGATTCATTTGTGTTTGTAATTGCTAAGTCGTGGTTGTGACATCTCACTCTTCACTTCTTGCTTCATCATCGTCATTCGCACTCCATGGTTGTCAGTATTATCTATTTTCATCTCAGTATTCGACTCACAACTTAGCTCATATTGCTCATGGAAGATAAGGAGAAAGAGAGGGGGAGAGAGAGACTGTGATTAAAGGTAAGAACGAAGACAGAAGAGAGGGGAGGCTTGGTGAGAGAGGAGATGAGATCAATGTGCAAGTGTAGAGCAGTAAAACTAAAAGCAAGTGGTGTGTGATTTGATAGATTCGTGTGGCAGGAGGGAAAAAGTGGGGAAAAAAATTGAAAATTTGAAAAAGTAAACCAAACCATGTGAATGAGGACAGAAGATGTGAAATAAAAGTAAAAAAATAAAACAGAAAAAATTTTAATGTATGAAGAGGAGAGAGAATTAAAAAGAAAATAAATAAATAAATAAATTAAATATTGCTTTTTTGTTAAAATAGGATATTTTTACACATTTAAATTAAATTAAATTATTTTAATTATTATCGGTCTGACCTGGTCTAACATCGATCTAACCTATTAACCCTTGACCCAGAATCTTAACCGGTTTACTAATCAATCCGGTTTTTTGTTTTTTATTTTTTAGTGTAATTTACGCTATAAAAGGAGTTTTATACTTAAAACGAAAGGAGTAATTAGAGAAATCTTTTCTTTCTCTTTTTCTTGGGTATTTTTAGTTTGGTAAGCCATGCTTATTGGCTGGATGAAACCCGAATATTACTGTCACAAGACACACCTAGCCCTAGGTGCCATCAGGTCAAGCCTTTGACATAAATAACAATCAAGTCTCCAATAATTCTTTTTCCCCCCAGGATGCAAGAGAGGGCAACGCCCAAAATTAAGACAGAAACTAAAATATAAGGGATTCGGAATCCCAAACACTCTTTTGCAACTAAGATTCACAGGTGCAACGACCTTGAATTCAGAATGGAAGATCTTGATAAGCCCTCCCTTGCCAAAGCATCTGTAAGTCTCCGATAACTCGTTCGATTAATTAGATATAGGGATTTTGGACCTTCGGGGGTCCATGACATGAAATTAATACCAACACGAGCTTATTCTACTTTGCGGTATGCACCCTTCAACTTAGCCCATGTCTCACTTTTTTATACTAGGAGTCTGGGATTAAATTAAGTAAGATTCTTTTGAATTACAAAAATGATTGTATACAATACATATAGAAATAAAGAGAAACAATGAACACAAAGAGAAGAAGACGACTTCGTCTGAAATGATATTTTTTTTTAAAAAAATTATATCTGTACAATCATGATGTTTTTCAAAGACCAAACATGGGTTTGATATGATGTGTTTGATTTTGATTTTGATTTTGATATTGATATTGATGGGTCTTTGAAAAGACTTTCCTGCTTGTTCTCAATGGCGGTGCCTCCTTTTTTCCCCCTTATCTATCATATTGAGATATTTTATGTTCAAATGAAATTATAAGACCGATTATCAGATCAATTGAGAGGAAAGAGATTGTGAAACCTTACTGGTTTAACAAGTGACATTCTCCTTCCTTGATATTTGAAATCAACTGTAAGTGAATCCTACTGGTTTTGATCTGTAATTTTTTGAGTCTATCTAGAAAAAAGTTTATAATCGATTCACTTGTTTGTATAGAACATTAAAATAAATCCTATTTATTACAAATAACTAACTTAATTTTTTTTAATCTACTCACATTAGTCAAGACCAAAAATAATAATAGCTAAATTGGGTTTATCAAAGATACATAGCATAAGTCAAATATGAGAGATACATTTTGGTGATGTTACTTGAGCGTAGTGTTCTGGCTCCTCGTTTCTTCTAGAATCTGTTACTAAATGGAAGGGACTTTTTCAAGCAACCTGTGACCATTATAAAGTACAATAACTTTTTTAAACGACTTTCACGAGATACCCATATCTTCATCTGCTTCTATTTATCCCAACCAACTTCACTAGATGTGAAGTCACTTTTTGCCATGAAATTATCTCTGCCATTTTCTCTTCTATGGTAATTGAACAAACTCGAGCTGATTAAATCTAGAGAAAGGGCATCAAGGAGGCCATGGATTTGAGACGTCCTAGAAAGTTAGACTTGAACAAACCCCTCTTGTCTACAAAGCGTCTTAGTATAGTTGTCGGAGACACATCTTGTTCATCAACCTCACTAGGCAAAACTGTACAGAATAATACAAGTGAAGAAAGAGTTCCATTTTCATGGGAAAAATCTCCAGGGAAACCAAAAAATGTTGATGATAACAATGAGGAAGAGACCCCTCGGTTAAGACTACCTCCTTGCCTTTGGCATCCACCAAATCAAGAACCAGGAGCAGATGAAGCAGACAAAGGGGAAGATCATCATCAAGATGAAGGTCGTGTTGTTGATGATGATGAAGATGAAGATGAAGATGAAAAGTTCGACAGTGATGTTTTATCAGATGCTATGGAAGTTTTTTCTCTGTCAGAGGCATTAGATATTGTCCAGAAATCCGAGAGAGTTCGAAGGAAAAGCGCCAACGAAGGCTTAAGGTTGAAGCTTGAAGAAGATTCTAATAATGGGAATGAGTCTCCAAATTATCTGATCAAACGCTTTCTTCCAGATGCTACTGCCTTGGCTGCTTCATCTACTTTACATTTCTCCAAGAGTATGATGGACAACAAGATCTGTGATAGTTCTGGCAGCTATCTGGAGGCTTATGTGGCTTCACCAAAGGGTTGTGGCTTGGAAGTCTTATTCCCATGGAGGTTGAAACATAAGCTTTGTGCTATGAAAAGCCCTGTTTTGCCATGCTCAAGTACAAGGATGCAGAAGCAGCATCAGAACAGAAGAAAAATCAAGGGACTGTACAAAGTGTGAAGATAATTGTTGAATATTCATCCTGTTTTGGTATACTGTATGTATTACCTTTACTTACTTTGCTGCCATTTTGCTTGTATACATAATAATCCTTCTATTTCTCCTTTACCTTGCACATTCTTTTGCCAATGCTTTAAGCTCAATAGACTATAAGAAAATCACTCATGACATGATAATCACATTTTCCCCCCGCAATGAATTATCGACCATTATTACTATTTTAAAAAATTATTCCTGACAATGAAGTTCAAAACCAACTTTAAAGAAGTATGAGAGAGGAAAATGATCAAACTCTCATACCACTGCATACTAAATAAAGATCGAATCGATTAAAAAGATCACGTTGATTAATAAAAAATTTTTGTCCGTAGTACTTGTTGGTGTACATCCACTTAGTTACAATATACCCTATCACATGGCATAATTTATCTAGCTCTTACACTCTTTGTCCATAATAATGTGTGTCATATATTATAAATAGCATGTTTTGGGGGACTTTGAGTCATTTGAAAACCATGTTTCGTTAAAAATAATTTAAGATGGTGGTTTAGTATCATCTAATTAGTGAATCTCTGCACAAACTCCTTATGCTCTAATCAGAAAACATACTCTAGAAGTAATTTTTTATCATTAATACAAGTCATCAACTAACTCATTAATTACCATTTTTCAATTTTAACCTTGTTATCAATTAAGGTTTAGTGGTAATAAGCTCCTTAAACTCCATGCTTCTCTATCTATACTATTTAAGTGAGGGTAAGCTTGAAAAAATTATCAATTTAGGACAGATTTAATATTTTAATTGTTCGATATCTAAAAATTAGTTAAGAATGTCTTGTAAGAAAAGATGGAGTGTATACTTCCTTTGCAACTCTACTATGATTCTCCCTTTCGGGTTTTGATCGTTGTCATTCGATTGCTTTGTTAGTAAATATGGGTGGAATAGTTTCAAGAATGTTCTTAGTCAATCCCTTTTCTCATTTGAATATTATCCACACAACAATGTATATGTAAAGAACAAAATGGAAGTAGACAAAAACACAAAAAGCAAAAGAAAAGAAAGAATAAAAATGGCTGTATTATACGAAAATGCAAATAGGGAGGAATACCCCACCAATCTGGTGGAAGAGCATGGCTACAACTATGGTTGATCGGGGGGGAAATGGAAGAAAGTTGCACATTCTGTGTCAAGATTGCTTATATGCTATCTACCTGCTTCTATAGACATACTAGTCATGTCGTTAATGGAGGATAAATTAAGGGATGTTGAGATTGCACTGGTACTCTCACCTTCTAAGAAATCCAAGCTCATTCTACTGCTCAGAGAATACTTGTGCCGGATACCAGCAATATTAGGAAGAGGATCATCAAAGTTTAGGTACCTTGTCACCTGTCTCATGGTAGGCCTTGACTCAGCATTAAATTGAGAACAAAGAAGACCCAGTTTTAGAACCAATTCCACCTCTTCTGCACAAACTGAGTTCAAGTTTGGATCAATAACTTCAAGAATCTGACCCAAGCGGTAATTCTCAATGACCCAATCTACCAAAACGAATTGTTCTGGGCCAATGGGTCTTCTCCCGCTAACTACTTCAAGGAGCAAAACCCCATAAGCATACGCATCCGAACATGTAGAAGCCTTTCCTGTGCGAGTCAATTCTGGTGCGATGTACCCAATTGTCCCAACCACATTGGTTGTGCGTGATACTTCACCATGATCATACAGCCTAGCAAGGCCAAAATCACCCAAACGAGGATTAAAATCTCCATCTATGAGGATATTGCTGGTTTTGATGTCTCTATGGACCACGACTTGTTCCCACTCTTCATGCAGATACAATAGTCCATTAGCTATGCCTTTGATGATATTGAACCTTTGGTCCCAATCCAAAACAAAGCTTTGATTGTAGAGGAGTGAGTCAAGACTTCCATTGGGGATATAATCATATACTAGAAGAAGGTTATTTTCTTGCTTGCACCATCCTTGAAGATTGACTAAATTCTTGTGTCTTAATCTTCCTAAGCTTTCAATCTCAGCTGCGAATTCCCTCATTCCTTGGATTGGGTTTCGAACAATCCTCTTCACAGCAACCTCAGTTCCTGTGGAAGGTAAGACACCTTTGTAGACAGCACCAAAGCCTCCAACTCCAATTAGCTCACTCTCCTTGAAACCTTTCGTTGCGGTGTGAAGATCTCTGTATCTGAATCTGTGAGGACAATCTAGCTCCCAATCCTCAAGAGCTTCAAAATTGGTGTACCTCTTGTACAATGTTACAGAACACAAACAAAACAGCAATAGCAAGGTTAAAGCAGACAAAACTCCTATGGCAAAGTTGACCCAAGGAAAAGAGGAAGTGTCTTTCACTTTTGGTGGTGGACGTGGAAGTTTCTCAATGTCAAGCGAAGGAGCAGGTGCATTGACTGCAAAGCTCCACCCCAAAATGTAATGAGAACTTGCTTTATGCTTCCCTGTTGATGCAGAGAAACCAACATATACATTTTCCGTTAAATTACCAGCAAGGTTGATGGGATGATTGGATATAAGTGGTTCGAAGGGTTTAGGTGCTCGTATTGGAGCTATGGTCACATTCACAGTTTGCTCATCACCATCAAAATCTATCCAAGCTTGTACAGCATCATCTTGCTCCAAACTGATGTTTTCCTTCTTTCGAGCATATGGGCCTTGTTCAATAACGTAAGCAGCTGGTTCGTCAATGACTGAGGTTACGCCATTTAGATTGACCCCAATATGGTCACCTTTGGTGTCAGATTCACCTTTACCGGCGCCATTAACCTGTACGCGCAAATCTTGTGTCAAAAGTAAATGAAATATTTGATGAACAAATCAATTTTAATCTTTCACTGATACACCTTTTCTCAATTGAGTCCCCAAAATTTATACCGTATACGTTAATCTTTCGAAGATTATTTCTGTTATAAAATGATCCTTATCTATTGTGGAGAAAACGCAATGAGCAATAAGTTAAAGACATTACCGTATCAAACTCAACAGCAAATATGTGGTTCGAAGGGTTCTCATCATTGCTGCGGTTAAAGAGACCAAGAAAGTGTTCAGCTTCCGCCTCTGGGAAATGGGTTTTTGGTGCGATGGTGAAAGCAAGGCCAAAGCCTCCTGACCCAGAGGTCGAAGAGACAATGGAAAAAACGAAGGATGTGCTGAAGGAAGAAGCTTTACGGTGTGGGGTTGAATTAGAAAGCATTTGTATGGACTGGGAGTGGAAAACGCGGCCTGCAATATTGTTTGATGAGTTGGTGAGCCTAAGCAAACCACTGGATTTGATAATGGTAGCTCCTTCGAGGATAAGTTCAGTTTCATTAATATTACTGAATCCAGGGTAGGTAAAAGTGGCCTCTCGTTGGGCCTTGGCTACAACTGAGAGTAAAACAAAGAGGAGGAAGAAACTAAGCGTTGATGATGATGCAGAAGCCATCAGAGTTAAGGATACAATAATGCTCAGAGATTCAGTGGTTTGATGCTTCTATATAACAGTTGGATGAAGTCTTAGAGGATTGACCTGGTTGGGTCAAAAATCTCGAACACGTAATAGGCAGGACCAGTTAGAGTGGAGTCAATAGCGGCCTGTGACCACGTCAATGCAAATGTTCAAATCTCAAATTAAAAGACAAGTCTGATACTGGTAGATATTGCGTTAAATTAATTGAGGAATTCAGACCAAAAGAGAACTCATGTAAACGCAAATCTTAAAACTAATATGTAAAGGAATGTATGGTGAAGAAGTCATAATAATAACCTCAAAGGGAAGGCACGAGTCTCAATCATCATTCTCTGTGTTTGGGGCGCCAAGACGGTGTTGAGATGGCAAGGTGTCATTCATATCGTGATGAATACAGTTTGAATTTTCTCGAGATGTAATAACTCGTTGCCTTGACATGATAGTTTTGGAGCTTGCTTGAAACTGCCAGGCTGCATTCTAGAAGGGATGCCCTGTTTCGTCAATGTTTATACTTGGGACGGAGAGATGTATTAATTGCTGGACGACCCTTTTCGTTTTCCTTCAGATTAATAGTGCAAATTCATTTGTCTAACAGTGTGAGTACTCGAAATGTATAATTGGCCCTATTACCAACTCAGATGAACTTAAATGCCCTCCTTCGCATGACAAGGGTCAATAAGTAGCGCGGGCACAGAACGCGTAGGAGGAGGAGGAGGACTGCTATTATTACAGATCCGACTCGCGTCGCGCACCTAGCTGTAATGGGTAAGTCTCCTAACGGAGATTTCTGCATTCGCTGAAGCTCAAACTCAAAACTTCACTTAAGTGGTACCAAGCCGCTTACTATTTAGATCAATCCCGTTAGTTGTTGGAAGCAACTATGGCTGCGGGGAAAGTGACTGGGCATGGGCTGGAAAGAGATAAGGGGTTTTGATTGGACGGACCCAATTTTACTTGATGGACCCATTACTTAAAACATTCTACTTTTTTTATTTTGGACACACATCTATGTAGTTGTCATGAGTTGTCATGTCCCTAAAAGCTAAACTAGTTCTTATTACTTTTGCCATATACATGGAGATTTAAATTATCATGTTATCAAATTACAACGTCCTTCGTAGAAATAAAGTCATCCCGGTCAAACCAATAACAGTTAGATCTTAAAAATTACTCCTCTTATCCTTAATATAAGACTTCTTTAACTAATTTGATTAGATTAAGAAAGTTAGGTAAATTAGTTAATTATAAGAAATATGACATGTTTTTTCTAAAATATCATAATCATCTTTTTTAATATTCTCTCTCCCTCTTCTACTTAATTATGGTTGAGTGAGTATCCTTAAGACTAATTTAGAAGAAATTGATAAATATAAAAAATACATCTTATATTTAAAATCAAAATCAACTCAACAATTAGGTCCTATATTAAAGAGCAGAGGAGTACTATAAGAGAAATTATTTTGGAAAATGAGTAACTACATGTAAAAAGCCAACCAATCCATGCGTACAAATTCTGAAATACTTTTATGAACATATTCAAGATTAACCGAGATGATATAGATTAAGATACGCACTCTATGCTCTTTTTTAATAAGCATGAAATGTGCTCCATTATTAAGGGGCTTGGAAAAACATAACTCATCAATTTTTTTTTAATTTCTTGCTAGCTTTTCGAATTATGAAATTATTTATGGACGAGTAGAAACATGTACGGGATGGAAAGAATAAGAAGGGCTAGAGATAGCAAAAAAGATGTTTTCGTTAGGTTTTACCCCCTCTTCATGCCATCCCCTGCTTTTATTGGGTCTTCCACAATGTTGAATGTTAAGATATTTATTCGATCTATTTATAAGTTATTTTAAATATACTTCATCAGAATCAGTAAAAATTTTAAACATTATTAACTTTGCCTTAAAATTAACCAATTCTTCAACTTTAACCATATTTTATATATCTATACACACTTTTCAAAAAAACAATTTACACAATTGTAAATGCAAGATAAAATATTACATTGTTAAAAATTTAACAATATAACTTATAAATATAAAAAAAAAAAATCACATCTCTTTGTCTTATAAATAGGATCAGATGAGTATCTAATATTTGGATTAACTTAGTTGAAGTAATTTTGCAATATATGAGTTATGAATATGAGAAGAATTTTGTCTCATAAAACATTAAAAAATTTTTTTAAAAAAAGTGATTATAAGAGTTTATCAAATAGTTGGTATTAAGGCCCGATAGCCATGCTCACAATAACTTTTCATCATAGACCTAGGCAATAATGATAAATTAACTCTTTGTTTGGATGGGAAGAAAATTAGGAAGAAAACAATATTAGGAGAAAAAACTCCTCATGAATGGCTGCCAGAAATCAGTAGAGCTCCTTTTTTATATTCTCCTCCTACTCTCCTACTTCGACTATCTAAATTATTCTGTTTGTATTTTACATTGAGCATCGATCTTATGATACCCTGCATTCATTTCTTCTATAACTGTTGATTTACTGGTTTAATGGGAAAATGGTTGGTGATTTACTAGTACTAACTATCAGTCTATCATCATGAATAATTATTATAATACCACTACTGATTTTAAGACTTTGATCTTCTCGTATGTCTCAAAATACAAGCTCCATCAATTCCTGATTGATGCTTTGTGCGGATTGAAACTTTTGTACCATTTCAATTCTTGATTTTAAAGGCAACGAATATAAGGACATTAACATATACATTGCTACCTGCCATCTTCTATAAATCTGCTGCTCATACTATTAATGGAGGATAAGTTAGTATACGAAGTTGACATATTACCTGCAGACACAATTTCCAGGAAACCAGAGCTGACTCTGCTACTTCCGGAATTGATTTGTCCCCTCCAATCCCCAATAGCTGGAATAGGGTCATCAAAGTTTAGATATCTTGTCACTTGTCTCATGGTGGGTCTTAAATCAGCTCTGTGTTGAGCACACAGAAGACCCAGTTTCAGAACCAATTCCACCTCTTCTTCATCATACATTGAATTCAACTTGGGGTCAACAACTTCAAGAATCTGACCCAAGCTGTGATTCTCTACAACCCAATCTAACAAGAAAAATTGTCCTGACTCAACAGGTCTCCTCCCACTAACAACTTCAAGAAGCAAAACCCCATAAGAATACACATCAGAGTTTGTCGATGCCTTTCCTGTACGAGTTAATTCTGGTGCTATATACCCAATTGTGCCAACCACATTGGTTGTGTGAGATACTTCACCATGATCATACAGCCTAGCAAGGCCAAAATCACCTACACGAGCATTTAAGTCCTCATCTATGAGAATATTACCTGTTTTGATGTCTCTGTGAATCACCACTTGCTCCCAGTCTTCATGCAGATATAATATCCCATTAGCTATGCCTTTGATGATATTGAACCTCTGATCCCAGCTCAAAACAATGCTTGGATTGAAGAGGAGTGAATCGAGGCTTCCATTGGAGATGTAATCATAGACTAGAAGAAGATCGTTTTTTCGCTTGCACCATCCTTGAAGATTGACCAAGTTTTTATGTCTCAATCTTCCTAAGCTTTCAATCTCAGCTGCAAATTCCCTCATTCCTTGGATTGGACCTCGCACGATCCTCTTCACGGCAATCTCATTTCCTTTAGAAGACAAGACACCTTTGTATACTGCACCACAACCTCCCATTCCTATTAGCTCACTCTCTCTGAATCCTTTTGTTGCTATGTGAAGATCTCTGTATCTGAATCTGTGAGGACAATCTGGTTCCCAATCCTCAAGAGTCTCGAAATTGGTGTACCTCCTGTACAATGTTGCAGAACACAAGGAAAACAACAATATTATGATTACAGCAGATAGAACTCCAATGGCAAGGTTGACCCAACGGAAAGAAGTTGAACTTGGATCATTCTCCTTTGGTGGTGGCTCTGGAAGCTTGGACCTGTTGAGTGCAGCAGAAGGCCCATTCATTGAAAAGCTCCATCCCAGAATGTAATGGGAGCTTGCTTTACTTTCCCCAGTTGACGCTGAGAAACCAACATACATGGTGTCCTTCAGAACCTCCTGAAGGTCAATCGAACGGGATATGAGTGCTTTGGAGGGTTTGGTGGGCAGTGACGCAGGAGCTATGGTCACGTTCACAATTTTCTCGTCACCATCATAATCTATCCAAGCTTGGACAGCATCAGATTCCTCCATGATGAATTCTTCCTTCTGAGCTTCTGTGCCTTCTTTAAAATAAGCAGCTGGTTCATTGACGTTTGAGTTCATGCCATTGATATTGACTCCAATATGGTTCCCTTTACTGTCAGCCTGACTTCCGTAGCCATTCACCTGCACACATAAACTAAACTAAGTATTGAAAGCAAGAGGAGAAAAATTTGAGAATAAAATACAGTATGGAAAATATATCACGTTACCGTATCAAATTCGACTATAAAAAGGTGATTTGATGGATTCCCATCATTGGAGGAGTTAACAAGACCAAGAAGATGGCCAGGACTTGACCATGGAAATTGAGTTGAGGGAGCTATGACGAAAGCAAGGCCAAAGCCTCCAGGGCCAGAGGCTGAAGGGACAATGGAGAAAACAAAGGATGTGCTAAAGGAAGAAACTTTTTGTTTGGTTGTATTGGTTGTATTAAGCATCTGAAAGGGTTTGTAATAGAAAGCATGGCCTACAATATTGTATGATCTGTTGGTGAGTTTAAGCGAACCACTGGCTTTGACAACTGTAGCTCCTTCAAGGTTTAGATAATTTTCACTGTTATTGAATCCCTCAAACAAAAATGGGGTATCTTGCTGAGCCTTGGACGCAACCAGAAAAGAAAGAAAGAGAAGGAGAAGGAGCAGAAGGAAACCAAGCGTTGATGCTTCTGCTGCTGCTAATGATGATGAAGCCATCAGTTCTGGATGCACCGAAGGACTAAACTGTGCCGATATAAGTGGAAGAATTGAGTGGAAATTAAACCTTTGTGTGTGGTAGTCTCAAACAAGTATAGCGAGCAAGACAAAGAATGAATTCTGTTGGTAAATAAAACTCAAGTGTACTGTATTTATTTTCTATATAACAGATAATGACAATCCGACTTAAAAACACACGATCATTTCAGATCAAGAGTTCATGCTTGTCAACTCAAAAAGTCTATACAAATAATGGATCATATGAACATAATAATGTGCAAGAGAGAAGCCACGCCTCCCTCAACTGTCATTATCTTTTGGGGTCCAAGCCACAAATTGAGATGGCAAGTTGAGAGAGTAGATACGCTGTACGGCAACGTTAGACGGCAATTTCTGACCGGCGTGATGAAAAATGGGTTTAAAATTTCTAAGCTTTAAATGTGTTTCACACGAAAAAAGTGATGAGACTTGATTTCAGAAGAGATGAGAGGCACAATCATTTGGCAAGAAAGTCTCAGGCTTGCTGATAAATATGCGAATGGAATAGAAAGGCAAGAAGATTGATTATTCATTCAAGACCGCTAACATGCAGGAGGAAAGGGATTTCTTGAACTGTTTGATTGGCTTGTTAGTCATATGGCGCCTTTGAATTTGGAGTGGATGGCAATGAATCTGCTACGTTCAATACTTGACAATGACCTGCAACCACTAAATCAAGATGAGAAGAAACTAACAAATATGTCTGCGTATCAAGATTCAAACTTTATGTACGGTATGAGTGACGTAATAAAAAGGAAAAGATAATATGAGCATAAGGAATAAATAAAATAAATAAATTTCATACATACATGTTATGTTATGTTATTTTCTGGTAATATTGATTCTCTTTTCTTTTTTTTTCTTTTTTTGCTCCTTCTTGGCACAAGTTATGCGTTAGGCTAGGGACGTTCAATTTGTACGAATCGTGCATTAATGTCTCCCTTGCAAAGTATGCAAATATTCTAAAATTTTAAACTTCTAGAAGTGCGCATGGTTAATATGGACTTATGAAAAAGATAGGTTAATATTAAAATTCAACTCCCTTCCAACCCCCCCAAAAAAAAAAATCAACTCCCATTTGAATATAAAACCAATATTATAATATCAAAACTCAAATCTATTATATATATGTGTGTAATATGAAATAAAGTACTCCTGCAGTTCTTATTATAGGACTTAATTATTGAGTTTATTTTGGTTTTAAATATAGGACCTATTTCTCATACTTATTATTTTTTTAAATTATCTTTATAGATATTTCATTAATCATAATCAAATAGAAGAGAAAGAGAGGATATTAAAAAAGATGATTATGGTGTTTTAGAAAAAATATGTAATATTTCTTATAATTAATTAACTTATCTAATTTTTTAATCTAATTAAATTAGTTAAATATGTTTTATGTTAAATATCGAAGGAATATATAAAAAGCAGAATAACTAATAAATATAAGTAATTCATTCACGCCATTTTTTGTGCTAAAGAAACAGGCCACAAGCTAAATCTAGTTCTATTCTATTCCGAGGCTTTGAAGCTCATGCAAGTCCTGTATTCTCATATACAGTCAGTGACGAGGAATTTCTTTGTCCCCCCCCCCCCCCAAAATGAAAGGCAATTTTTTAAAATAAAGTAAAACAATACATATTGGCAACCATTTAAACTCGAACTGTCACTAATCTGTTTGATAAGAGAGAAAAGGAGTGAAAAGAAGGGGAAGAAAAATATTAATGAACTTGATTTAAAAATTAAATTTGAAAAAATGAGATTAAAAACTTTAATTTTGCTTGCTCTTTTATATTATATCTTCTTTTTATCAAAATTTTATAATCATATTTTTTTTTAATTTTTAAATTAAACTCGTTAAAAAAAATTTTCTCCACTTTCTTGCCCTCCAATTTCCTCGTACAAACATAGGGTAAGACAATAAAACCAAAAAACCTCAACAGAAGAACACAAAAAAAAAAAAAAAGAAGTTATGAGGAATTTGTTTTCATTTCTCATTGAAGATATATGGTCAGACATTTTTTAATCCTTTTATTACCATATGAAGAGTTTTAGAAGAAGAAAACCAACGCGGTGACATTATATGATATTGTGAAATAAAATGCTGCAACGTTAAAATGTGAAATAAGTACACTGACACCATGGAATGAAGTTTTCTTACATGATATTCATCCAAGAAAACTTTTTTTTTTTTTTTTTTGTCTTTAGGTGTTTTCCAAACACACACTTAAACTTAAAGTACGAGTCCTTTCAAAAAGTTTCAAACAAATTTGGTGCATATTTGATGAATGAACACATTAACAAGAACAAAGACATGATGATACGTACATGCATATATATGTGTGCGTGTGTGTGTGTGTATATATATATATATATATATGAAACAAATAGAAAATGATGGGCAGATAAATAAGAAGTTCTGATGCAAGCAAATATTATTGGAGGGAGGGAGCAAGAAAGCAGCAGATCGAGAATCAATATAGTGAATTGAATGTTCTTCTCATCATTCATAACTGAATTCATGTACGTCGTGATTGACATCAGAAAGTTAGAAAGGATCTAACAGATTCTAATTGAAAGAAAGAAGGTAAAAGAATGTATTAAGATTACATGCATGCTATCTACAGGTTTGGATAGGCCTACTATTTATGCTACTATTAGAGGTTGAGTTATTTACGGTTGAGATGGCACTTGAAGATACAATTTCTAAGAAACCCAGGCTCATTCTTCCACTATCTGAATCTGTTTGTCTCCTCCAATCCCCAATATCTGGCAGAGGGTCATCAAAGTTCAGGTACCTCATCACTTGTCTCATGGTGGGCCTTGACTCTGCATTATGTTGAGCACAGAGAAGACCCAGCTTCAGAACCAATTCCACCTCTTCCTCAACATGATTTGACCCCAACTTAGGATCAACCACTTCAAGAATCTGACCCATATTGTAATTCTCCACAACCCAGTCCACCAAAAAGAATTGTTCTGACCCAATAGGTCTCCTACCGCTAACAACTTCAAGAAGCAAGACACCATAAGCATACACATCAGAGCTTGTGGATGCCTTTCCTGTGCGAGTCAATTCTGGAGCTATGTACCCAATTGTCCCAACCACATTGGTTGTGTGCGATGCTTCACCATGATCATAGAGCCTAGCGAGGCCAAAATCACCCAAACGAGCATTTAAATCTCCGTCTATGAGGATATTGCTAGTTTTGATGTCTCTATGGACCACCACTTGCTCCCACTCTTCGTGGAGATATAACAGCCCATTCGCTATGCCTTTGATGATATTGAACCTTTGCTCCCAGCTCAGTACAAGGCTTTGCTTGAACAGAAGTGAGTCAAGGCTTCCGTTACGGATGTAGTCATAGATTAGAAGAAGATCATTCTTTCGCTTGCACCATCCTTGAAGATTGACTAAATTCTTGTGCCTTAACCTCCCTAAGCTTTCAATCTCAGCTGCGAATTCCCTCATTCCTTGGATTGGGCTCCGAACAATCCTCTTCACAGCAACCTCAGTTCCTGTGGAAGGTAAGACACCTTTGTAGACAGCACCAAAGCCTCCAACTCCAATTAGCTCACTCTCCTTGAAACCTTTCGTTGCGGTGTGAAGATCTCTGTATCTGAATCTGTGAGGACAATCTAGTTCCCAATCCTCAAGAGCTTCAAAATTAGTGTACCTCTTGTACAATGTTACAGAACACAAAGAAAGCAACAATATCAAGGTTAAAGCAGACAAAACTCCTATGGCAAAATTGACCCAAGAAAAAGAGGAAGTGTCTTTCACTTTTGGTGGTGGACGTGGAAGTTTTGTAATGTCAAGCGGAGGAGCAGGTGCATTGACTGCAAAGCTCCACCCCAAAATGTAATGAGAACTTGCTTTACTTGCCTCCCCTGTTGATGCTGAGAAACCGGCGTACATGTATTCGCCGTTTAGAACAGTGGTAAGGTTAATGGAACGATTTGATATAAGGGGTCTGGAAGGTTTAGTCACTCCTACGGGAGCCACGGTCACATTCACTGTCTTGTTATCACCATCATAATCTATCCAAGCTTGTACAGCTTCATCTTTCTCCATGCTGAAATTAACCGGTTTAGAATCCATCCCAATGTAATAAGCAGCTGGTTTAGAGACACCTGACTCTGTACCATTGACATTGATCCCAACATCGTTCCCTTCTGTGTCTGACTCACCTTTGTCGGAGCCATTCACCTGTACAGGAAATTCGGGTAGGCAAAAATTTAAATACTTAGGATATCAAATGAGTCAATTCACTCTAAATTTAATGAATTGCGCCATATACACTACCGTATCGAATTCCACTGCGAATATGTGAGTCTCCTTCACAGCATTGGAAGCGCTATAAATACCAAGATGGTGCCCTGCTTGAGCGCCCACAAACATGTCGATATCTGGTGCTAGGACGAAAGCAAGGCCAAAGCCACCAGGACCAGAGGTTGAGGAGACGATGGAGAAAACAAAGTATGTGCTAAAGGAAGAAGCTTTTTGTCGGTCGTCTGAATCGTTAAGCATTCGAATTGTTTTGGAATGGAAAGCACGGCCTACAACATCGTTGGATGTGTTGGTGAGCATAAGCATACGGTCATTCGTAATTCCCGCGACTTCCTGGAGGACTAGACTCCCATCGTTAACGAATCCTTCATAGGAAAATTGGGTCACTTCTTGAGCCTTGGCTGCGAATAGAAGGGAAAGAAGAACCAGATGGAGGAGAAAACCAAGTGTTAATGATGACGCAGCCATGATAGATTCTGGGAGCTGAGGTAAACACAAAAGGATCACACGATGTGGTTAGATGTTAATGACTGCTTTATATTGAAGAAGGGTGAGCGTGGTCAGGGAAAAACCTCACTGGGTCAAAGCATCGAACACGTAATGGGGGTTGCTAAAAAGAACCCAAAAAAGAAAAAAAAATCAACGGAAGTGCAAGTCAAAGAGAAACAACTATGGTGGTGACCATAGCAAGTCAATCAATCATATACACACACACAAAATCTGATAAAAAAAAAAAAAGAGTCGAATAATATTTAAGAGAAGACAGAAGTATGAAGAATCATTGTCCAGGGAGGTTAAGGAACAAGTTGAGATGGCAAGGGAGAGTAAATATAGGCAGGTGCATGGCGCTATCTAAGAGCCGTGATGAATGTGGGGGCTTGAATTTTCCCGGCTTCTAGGCTATGAAAAGTCAGTCACATGAGAAAGGTTGTACAATTACAAAAAAAAAAAAAAAAAGAGGGCCCGATATGTTGCTGCCCAGAAATTCATGGCTGTTTGATTGATAACCATGCAATGGGAATGATGTTTGAGGACAAAAGATTGAATTCATTTAATAATAGAATATGAAAAATTGAAAATGTTAAAATAATGAAAAAAAAGTCTTTTTAATTAATGCTTTGAATACTCTTAAAGAAATTATAACTTCTCATAGTTTGACACTCATGTTCCCGTATTTAAAACTTTCTGATTGCACGTTTACAAGTAAGATTGGTCTATTTTTTACGAACAAGGGGAATAGTTTTCAAATCTTTTAGCAAGTTAACAGTCATATTATTTGATCTGCACTTCATATGATCATTAATTTGTAAGTGAGATTTGTCTTTGTCTATTTATAAAGAAAAATAGACCATTTAACTTATTAAAGATATTAGGGAGAATTACAATAACATCGTCTAAATGATTAGTTAAAATTTATCATTTCTTACTCTACAACTTTTTATTACAAACTGCTCAGTTGTGTTATTAAGACTTTTTATAAATTATATTCCTTTCTTAGAACTTGCAATTCTTTTATTGGTTTGATATTCTTATTTTTTTCAACACCATAACCATTAGTTTATTATTTTACTAAAATATCATACCAATAAATTTATTACTAGGATCAAATCACTAAAGAACCTTCTTTCCTTATAATTTTAATATTAAGTTAATTCATTTTTTGGTTCACAAATATCATTCCTCGAATTGTGCAACGTCCAAGAGGGCTTCTTCACTTTCAGACAACCAAGCTGCAGTTTGCAAGAGGTTTCCCATTTCCCTAGGGTTTGAATTTGAAGTGTTTTGACATGACTTCTATTCAATTCATTTTCCACTAGTTTATCATTTTTTATATTAATAATTACATATTATTTGATCATGAATACGCACACACTCAGCCAATAACATAGTGACATAAAATCCTATCAAACAAAGGTTGTGAATTCAATATATAATGCTCGTGTGAATTAGTGAAAGTGGGTGTTGCAAAATAACGGAAAGAACACTTATTCACACATGAAATATATAGTATTATTTTTCATAGAGATATATAGATATTAGATATTACAAATTTCATTAGATATTTATTTGTTAATAACAATTATTTGATTTTTCATTTTGCAAGAAATAAAATTGAAAATAATAAAGATAGTATTTAAATTAAATTGCATCAAATAATTCATTCTATATATTTAAAATTAAAATAAATAGTTAAAATGAATAATAACATTAATGAAATCATGAAATACACAATTAAGAGATATGAAATGTCCAAATTTATTACCCCTCTTAAGCAGCAAGATATATTGTTTAAGAAGAACAATAGGGGATAACGAGCAGATCAATTTGAATATAAACCATTAAAAAAATAGCTTACATGATTTAGAAAAAGAAAAACTGGGTGTGACATTAAAATTCAATATTTTTTTTCATGTGAGATTTAAGCATCACGTATTAGAATTAGATCTACACACACGCATGGTTTCTGGAAGAAGTTGAGAATCCAATATTGGCCTTAATTACTAGCATAGGAAAAGTCTCAAGATAAGTAAGACTTGTTCCTTTATACCACAATGCTGCCTTTTATGTGAATCATATGTTCATTTATTGTGTCAATTAAGGATATATAATTGATAATTATAGGGTATAACTGAATTAACTTATTGTGTATAAGCATTTCTGCATTTAGCTTAAATATGACAGACTAATTTTTGTCCTTAGTAAATATAAAGTTTTTAGCATCAGGCAATGATATCGGTTAATATAAATTAACCTCAAGATATGAGTGGTGACAGTTTTATAAACAAAGTACTAGTACAATTTTTTGTGCTGGATTTTTAGATAATCAACCTGGTTAGTTCTCAAAAATTTTAAAAAAGACGAATTGTAGCTATTTAAGTTGGATTTAGGATATATGATCTGACATGAATATCTCTCCATTAAGCAGCTCGTTTTCTATTTATTTCATTTTTTGTCTCAAATTTCATTGAAGAATTAGAAAAACACGGCTCATTAAATTCAGATATAATATAAAAACACATATGAGCTACATTAGTTATCCTTTTAAAGATTAAATGAGTATTATATGTCAAGTATTAATGTGTATATTAAAATGATATTTTTTTAAACAATAATTATACAATTATCTTTTCAAGGATAAAAAATTTCTAAGTTGTTGACGCAGGTAGGCTGAAAGCCCGACGTCATATTTTAAATTGAAAATCACATCTTTTTACTTCAAAAAATCATACCTGGCCTCGTTTAATTAATCTTATCTTTAATCAACAAAGTCCTATCTATTTATGTATTTCTTTTTTAAAAAATTTAAACTATTTAAAGGTCACAGTCATATTAAGGATACAATTATAAAAATACATATCATGCGATTATATTTAATATGAGAATGACACCAAAAAATCACATAAAATTTATTTGATTTGAATAATAATAATAATAATAATAATAATTTTATTATTATTATTATTATTATTATTATTATATTTAGGTTCTAGGAAAAAATTTTGGTCAAGTTTCTTATAATTATTATGTCAAGTTTTTCAATCACATATGAACATATGTTCTTTTCTTTTCATATGAATTTATAATAAAATGTTAATAAATATTAATACTTCAAAAATAGGATATATACACGTAACGTGTAATTGAAAAACTTAATATAATAGATATAAAAAAAAAAACTTGATGTAAGTATTGTTTTTATTTTTGTACAACCTCTGATCTTTAGTATAAGACCCAATTTGACTTTTATGTTGGTCCTAAATATAAAACCCCAATCCATTTTATCTCTCATATTTACTCAAATTTTTCTAAGATAGTCTTTCTAATAATTATAGTTTTAACCCACATACTTGATTAGTAAGAATATTTTAGGAAAGATAACACCTATTTATTACAAATAACTAACTTACATTTTTTCTTAATTTCTTCAAATTAGTCAACTGACTCTTATAATTAGGACTGAAGATAGTATATACTAGTATTATATATGATGATTTTTCATGGTTGTAAATAAAAGAAAAGTGGCGAGGGACGAAAATGAAGAACGGATTGTGGGGTCGAGAGGTGAGGATATGTGTGGAGGAAAATCAAAAGTCCCAAGATCTTGGAAGGATTGGTGTTAACAACGAATCTATGCCCTCGTTGAATATTATAATATGCGAAAATTCACAATGGGCACTTTGAACATTACAACATAACAAGAAGTTGCCAATTCCCATTGAATTCCCATATTTAATTTTTGAGGGGCGTACAATTATATTGTAGATATTTTATAAAGTTTTTTCCATACTCCTATATCATATCATTGCTAATACTCACTTTTCTTTGAATTTGCTATCGGAAAAGATTTATTAATTATTCAAAAGCCTCCGTTCATAGCGTATATGAAGCTAAGCTCAGATGACAATCGTGGACAGGTCTCTCTTTACCCCCGTTGTCCAAAACAAAATCCTACCAGCGGCACCTTGTTACCTAGCTATTTTCTTTTTAATTTAAATTGGGAATTATTACATCACATCAGGAGGGTTAAAATCACAAAATTTATTTCCAACAAAGAAAAAAGGATAATTACAATGAGTTCCCATGCAAGAAAAAAAAATTACAAAACGAGTCTCAGAGTTATTCTCCACTCCAAAACTTGTTATTACAGGTTGCTCAAGTTGCTATTAGACCTTTTAGTAGTTATTTTTCTTGTACATGACTTGATTGTAATTCTCCCAAAGAAAAATCATTTTTTGTTAAAAAAAATTTAGATGGGTTAAGTCTCAAGACTCACCAAGATCAAGTATACTTGCAGGCTGAAAGAACTCAATCGCTCTCCAATAGATCGTCTTTACATTGACAGCAAGATCTAAATTTACAGCATTGTGGGTTATATATGAATCCACTCTTAATTAATTAGGCCAACTCTTATTGATAAAAAATTATCAGTTTGTTTTGGGGGAGAGGCAAGGCTAATTGTTATCAGCCCATAAGATAATGCATACGGTCCAATGGCCCAATTAATACAGACTTTTTTTTTCTTTTTCTTTTTTTGGACGGACTAAAATAACATCCTTTTCTCCGAAAATTATGATTTTCCCACATATATTCTCTGTTAAAGAGATTTGAAATTTCTTCTTTATTTCCATAATTCTGTTCCAGGAGCACAGAAGTCTTTCTTATCCACACAAACGAGTTTGAAGTTTACCAGGAAGCACGTTCTTTGCTCGTCATTTTTTATAAGCATGGTGTTCTCATCACTCAGATCCATCCTAATTAATTTTGAACAGTTTAAATTTATGGTTTAATTTAGTTTTTTTCACATTTTGAATAGATCTTCATTTAATAAATGAAGAATTCAAAGTGAATACTCCTTCCGCTATTTATTATAAGACCCTTTTTAGAATCTGGCCAAGAAAAAAAAAAACTCCTTTTAAAAGAAATTTTTGGTTATTTTCATAAAACTTTATGATAATTTCAGTAAACAT